GAGAGAGAGAGAGAGAGAGAGAGAAGAGAAGAGGGAGAGGGAGAGAAATCAAATAAAAAGTAAAACAGAACAAACAATAAAATAGGTCCTGGTTGTATTTTATTTTAATTTTTCCCCTATCCTACCTGTTTTTTTAAAATTTCTTTTAAAAAATTTCTTCTCAGTGCCCCAGAATTCATTGTTTACTCACCACACCATGTACTCCATGCAATATGTGCCCTCCTTAATACCCACCACCAGGCTCACCCAGCCCCCTTGCCAAAAAAAACCCAGTTTGTTTTTCAGACTCCACAGTCTCTCATGGTTCATCTCCCCCTCTGATTTCCTCCAACTCCTTTCTCCTCCCCATCTCCCCTTATCCTCCATGTTATTCCTTATGCTTCGTAAATAAGTAAAACCATATGATAATTGACTCTCTCTGCTTGACTTATTTCACTCATCATAATCTCTTCCAGTCCTGTCCACATTGATACAAAAGTTGGGTATTCATCCTTTCTGATGGAGGCATAATACTCCGTAGTATATATAGACCATATCTTTCTTATCCATTCGTCCGATGAAGGACATCTTTGTTCTTTCCAGTTTGGTGACTGTGGCCATTGCTGCTATGAACATTGGGGTACAGATGGACCCTCTTTTCACTACATCTGTATCTTTGTAGTAAATACCCAAAGTGCAATTGCAGGGTCACAGGGAAGCTCTATTTTTAAGTCCTTTTTAAAAAATTTATTTTTAAAAATTTTCAGTGTTCCAGAATTCATTGTTTATGCACCACACCCAGTGCTCCACACAATACGTGCCCTCCATAATACCCACCACCAGGCTCACCCAACCTCCCACCCCCTCCCCTCCAAAACCCTCAGTTTGTTTCTCAGAGTCCACAGTCTCTCATTTTTAATTTCTCTTTTTTTTAAAGATTTTATTTATTCATTTGGCAGAAAGATATCACAAGTAGGCAGAGAAGCAGGCAGAGAGAGGGGGAAGCAGGCTCCCTGCTGAGCAGAGAGCCCGATGTGAGGCTTGATCCCAGGACCCTGGGATCACGACCTGAGCCGAAGGAAGAGGTTTTAACCCACTGAGCTACCCAAGCACCCTCATTTTTAATTTCTTAAGGAACCTCCACATTTTCCAAAGTGGCTGCACCAACTTGCATTCCCACCAACAGTGTAAGAGGGTTCCCTTTTCTCCACATCCTCTCCAACACATGTTGTTTACTGTCCTGTTAATTATGGCCATTCTAACTGGTATAGGGCTGTATTTTAGTCTGTTTATTAGAAGAAACTAGATCCCACAATAGGAAAGAAAGAAAAAAATATGCAAAAATAGAATTGAATACAGTGAAAGAATCCATAATTAAAAAATATATCTATATGGCATAACTATAAAAATTAAAATTAAAAAGGGCTTAAATAAGAATTGATAAAATAAGAAAATAGCCAAATGGGTATTAAGGAGGGTGCATGTGGTGATGAGTACTGGGTGTTATAAGCAACTAATGAATCGCTGAACACTACATCAAAACTAATGATGGCTAACTGAACATAATGGAAAAAAAAAGAGAGGAGAAAAAATAAAACTGGAAGACTAAAGAATAATTAAAAAATCGCACAAATGCTATATACCATTTTCCTCAAGTCTGAAGTTTTGCAGCTCTCTATAATGGGTAAATTTGGTATTCACCCAAAATTCCTGCTGTTCTTCTGGGGGAGGGCCCTATTGAGCTGATTCTCAGGTGTCTTTGTTGGGAGGTATTGACTCCCCTTGTCCGCGGGGCTGGGCTCAGTGTAAGTGGCTCCGGAGCTGGTGCGGGGGGAGTACCCCATCTTTAGCTCTGAAGCTGAAAGTTAGCACCCCGCACTCTTCAGTGTACTTTTACAGAAAAGCAGCCAATCACTCTTATCTCTCTGGTTTCTGTCCACGCTCTGTACACTCACCCTGTGACTGAGTGTTTTATATCAGACTCATGACCCCACTTCGAGTCTCCAAACTTCATGGACTACTGCAGGGTGGACCAGAGCTGCTCCTCCAAGGAGATGGAGGGGGTTCCACCCAAGTTCTGCCTCTTGCTGGGCCCCTGCTCAGAGAGTGGTCACTCACTGTGACCGCTGACTATGCAGTGGTTCCCAGTTTATGGCAACACCAAGCAGAAAGCTGGCGCCTGGGCTCACTGTTTGTAGCCAGCTTCCCTGGTCCAATGCCTGGGAGCTCTGCTGCACTCAGGCACTCCTATTCTTTTTGTGACCTGGTTATGTTCGCTTTCATAAATCACTTCCACAAAGTGCTATCTCAGGGTCTACCTCTAGGAAGTTGCCCAAGGCAGTCAGCAATGGCTGGCTACATGTATTCAGGCTGAGGAGTCGCTACAATTCAAGCAAACGAGAGCACCTGTGGGGAGCATGTATAATGGGGAAGCCTTGGGGCTGTCACTGCAGAATAAGCAGCACCAGCTCACCAAGGACCAAAACAGACTCAGCACTTCCAAGGACTTCCACACAATTCCGTCCTCCTGGAAGTTCCATTTAAAGGGATGACTCTGAGAAACAAACTGAGGTTTTTGAAGGGGGGACAAGTGAGAGGTTGGGTGAGCCTGGTGGTGGGTGTTATGGAAGGCATGTATTGCATGGAGCACTGGGTGTGGTGCACAAACAATGAATTCTGGAACACTGAAAAGAAATAAAAAAAATAAAAATTAAAAAAAATAAAGGGATGTCTGTGACTTTTAAGTCTTATTTTCAGAAATATCCCCTCACAATCTTCACCCTCCATGCCACTGGAAGGCTCCCTCCCTGTCCACTGGAGCCTCCTGGGGACAGGTCTTCCTGGAGAGGACTGCATGCAGACATGCTTGGACATGTAGTTCGGGCTTTGGAAACTGCACTTAGCTTCTCGACTTTTTAGTTACAGGCAGTTTGTCATAGCAGCCCTAAAACCCAAACAAACTTTTGGCCAATTCTAAACTCCTCAAGACCACATATACAAGGTAAAGTCCTGTACTGTGGTTCTCCAGAAGGACATGGGTACATTGTTCACTCAGGAAATGATTACTGTGCTGTGCTCAGCTTGAACAAAGCAGATGGAAACTCTGAGGACACAAAGTCCACATTCAAGAATGTGAGGCATTCATGCATTCAACTGACATCAGATAACTGCCACATGCATGTTACTGTTCTAGAGGCTGGGAGTAGAACATGGAATGGAACAGACAAAAGTCCATGAACTCATGTGGCTTGTGTTCTAGTAAAATATGCCTGGGTAAATAAACAATAAGATTTCAAAAAATAAACAGAGTAATATAGTGTGAATAGCTGGAAGAGAACTTTCAGATACGGGAACACACTGAGATTCTGTGGGCGACATTTCATCTGAGGCCTGAGTAAGACCAAGGTTCAAGCCAGGCAATGGGGCAGGACAGTGGGCAGGCTGCCAATTGGCTTTTCCTGCTCCCTGGAGCTCTGAGAGTACCTGCTCTTAGGACTTTGGACAGCTTAGTTGAAGTGGCATGTGGAACATTGCAGCGACTATAGGGAAAGCACATTATGTACAAATCTATTGCTTTCTTGCAGTTTTCCACTTAAAATAGATTCTATCAGTCCTATTTTAAGATTTGCTGGTTAACACCCTAAAATTCCATATTGGCCATTTCCTTTATTTATTAGATATAGGAAAATACTTTCTTGAGGGCCACGTTGACATCTTTGTTCCACAGAGAGTAGATGAGGGGATTCAAGGTGAGGCTGAATGTCTTGTCCAGCACAGGGACCACTTTGCCATTTTCCATGGAGGAGTTGAAGCTTGGCAGATGTATGTGTAGATGATGGTGGAGTGGTACCAGGTGGCCACCAGGAAGTGAGAGAAGCAGGTGGAGAAATGCCCACCACTTGCCCACACCTGGCAGATGCCTGGGTTGCTGGTGATGATGCAGCTGTAGAGCACCAGGGTGAACAGGAAGTTGACTACTCCAGAATAAATGTCCACAGTGATGATCATAATGTTGTTCAGGGTCATTGGTCTACCAGAGAGCAGCAGCAGCTTGGGAACTTCATGTAGAAAATGATGGATCTGACAGGGACCATGGAATGTTAACCTGGTCATCATGCCTGTGTGCATAGATGTGCTGACTGCTGTGACCGCCCACATGCTGCCTGAGAGTAGGGCGCAGATGGGCCAGCTCCTCAGCATGCTGTAGTGCACTGAGTGGTAGATGGCCACATGGCAGTCACAGGCCACAGCCAGGAGCAACAGTGGCTTGGCTCCCAGGAGCCGTATCAGGAAGAAGAGCATGCAGTCAACCTGGTTGACTACCAGGTTCTCCAGCAATTTGGGGAGAATAGTGAATGTGTGGGTGGTGTCTACAAGGGTCAGGTTGGTGAAAAAGAGGTTCACTGGGGCCTGGAGGCCCGGATGCAGGCTGATGGCCATGACAATGAAGGCGTTTCCTGTGAAAGCCCCAAGGTAGAGGAGGAAGGAGGCAGCCAAGAAGGGACACTGCAGCCCAGGTCCCCTGAGAAATGTTGCAGGACAAACCCCTCCACAGCTGTGGGGTTTTTTGTAGCCATTCAGTAGGTGGGGTCCTCTGGCCCTTGGATTCAGCCCTGCCTGCAAAGGGAAGCACAGGGTGGGCTGGGTAGCCTCTGTGGGAATGCTTGTTCCCTGAAATGCTGCACAAAGCACATAATGAAGATGCCAACGAAGGTCCCCAGGCTCAGGGAGACAGAATTAACTCTCCTCCTGGACTCCCTGCCAGTCCTTCCTAGCCCTGCAGACACCCCTCCCCATGACAGCCTGCTTTTGACTGGGCCGGCATCACACCACACATTACAGAGAAAGCTCAACATGAGACTTTCCTCACTTTGACTTCGAACATCTACATGATCCAGGGACAAGAGGCTCACCGTTGCACGTGTTGCATGTGTGCCTGGCACTGTGGTGGTGGGGCACATCTCCATCAGTAAGCCAGGCACTGGACTCCAGATTCCCAGAAGGAGAACCCAGTCAGCTGGGGCCTTAAGGACAGGATGGGATTTTCACCTAGGGGGTCTTTGAGCTGGGGATTCAGGGGGAGCACGGGGTCTTGGAGGGGAGAGTGGCTTGGGCCCCAGCCTGGTCAGGGTTTGGCTGCTTTGGAAAGGTCACTCTCAGCTGTCAGAATCAGCGGCGGACTGGCTGGACCCAGCACTTAGTTGAAGATATAGCTGCCAAACCCTGCCTGGGCCAGTCTAGGCTGCACCTCTGGGTTGAGATGGGGCGAATGTAGGTCACCCAGGTTCCAGTTCTAACCCCAGCTCCTGCTCCTGGGATGGACAAGAAGCTTGTCCCTTCTCTGGGCCAGGGGCTGGGATACAGGAAGAAAGGCACAGACCCAGTTCAGTGCAGCAACACCACCTTGGCCAACACACCCACCTAGCTCCCAGCCTGTGTACCAGCAGCCCTCAACCCTTCTGGGGACACCCAGTCTCCCTGGGCGGGACAGGGCCTAGCTCATTTGAGGAGAGAATCTTCCTCATGCCCATGGAACAATCAGATGGTGCATGAGGAAAACAAGGCCAGCCTGACCTTCTTCTCTGGGGACAACTCCCTGCAGTCCCGGGGGCGTCAGGTGGGAGCATGGCCTGCCCTCTGGGCTCACACGGATCGTGGGCTACCAGGCACAAGTGTTAACATGGCGCGTTAACCATGCCATGACAGAAATATGTCACCGGCTGCCATCAGTTATGGTGGAGCTCCAGTGCTGTAGAGCTCTGGGCTTCCTGAGAGCCCCACCTGCTGCATATCTAACCATCTCCCCTCTCAGCTCCTTCCCCTGCAGGGCTGAGGTGCCACTGAGTCAGCAGGATAGGGCTCCCGCCTGCTGGTCACCGCTGGCCCTGTCCCATGCCAGGTGCCACACACACTCCTTCTCAGCAGTCACCCAGGACCAGCGAATGCAAGGAGGAATTCCTAAGGCCTCTTCTGGTCGCAACGTCCGAGCTGCCTGAGCTCCCCTCTGGTGTTCCAGATAGGCAGATAGGCATACCTGTCTGCCTGCATGGCTGGCTGCCCGCCTAGATTCACAAAACCCCAGCTGCAGGCTCACTGCATCTTTCTCTTAAAGATCCTGACCTACTTAGACATCAAACCACACTGCTGGGTTTCTCCCTCCTCCTGATGTGGTACACAGATAGGTCACAGATGCACTGGAGGTCTCTGAGGACTTTGCAATTTCAAACTGAAGCAGTGAACGCCATAAGCAAGGCAATTTTCTGTCATTTTTTCCACAATAAAATAGGTCAGAGCCAAACCAAATCTGCCTTTTGAGAAACATCAAAAGGAAAATTTTATTTATTGTTTTTTATTAGCATATAATGTATTTTTTTTTCCAGGGGTACAAGTCTGAGAATTATCAGTCTTGCACAATTCACAGCACTCACCATAGCCCATACCCTCCCCAATGTCCATCACCCAACCACCCTATCCCTCCCACCCTCCACCACTCCAACAACCCTCAATTTGTTTCCTGAGATTAAGAGTCTCTTATGGGACAAGATGGGACTTCCTCCCCAGTCCCATCTTGTTTCATTTTTCCCTCCCTTCTCCCCATGACACCTGGCCCTGCCTCTCAAATTCCTCATATCAGAGAGATCATATGATAATGGTCTTTCTCTGATTGATTTATTTTGCTTAACATAATACCTTCTAGTTCCATCTGCGTCATTGCAAATGGAAAGATTTCGGGTTTTTTGATGGCTGCATAGTATTCCATTGCATATATATACCACATCTTCTTTATCCACTCATCTGTTGGTGGACATCTAGGTTCTTTCCATAGTTTGGCTATTGTGGACATTGCTGCTATGAATATTTGGGTGTACGTGCCCCTTTGGATTACTACATTTGTATCTTTAGGGTAAATACCCAGTAGTGCAATTGCTGGGTCGAAGGGTAGCTCTATTTTCAACTTTTTGAGGACCCTCCATACTGTTTTCCAGAGTGGCTGCACCAGCTTGCGTTCCCACCAACAGTGTAGGAGGGTTCTCCTTTCTCCACATCCTTGCCAACACCTGTGGTTTCCTGACTGGTTAATTTTAGCCATTCTGACTGGCGTGAGGTGGTATCTCATTGTGTTTTTGATTTGTATTTCCCTGATGCTGAGTGATGTGGAGCACTTTTTCATTTGTCTGTTGGACATTTTGATGTCTTCACTGCAGAATGTCTGTTTGTGTCTTCTGCCCATTTCTTTTTTTTAATTTATTTAAAAAAATTTTTTTTCAGCATAATAAAATTCATTGTTTTTGCACCACACCCAGTGCTCCATGCAATACGTGCCCTCCTTAATACCCACCAACTGGCTCCTCCAACCTCCCACCCCCCGCCCCTTCAAAACCCTCAGATTGTTTTTCAGAGTCCATAGTCTCTCATGGTTTACCTCCCCTTCCAATATCCCTCAACTCCCTTCTCTCCATCTCCCTATGTCCTCCATGTTATTTGTTATGCTTCACAAATAAGTGAAACCATATGATAATTGACTCTCTCTGCTTGACTTATTTCACTCAGCATAATCTCTTCCAGTCCTGTCCATGTTGCTACAAAAGTTGGGTATTCATCTTTCTGATGGAGGCATAATACTCCATAGTGTATATGGACCACATCTTCCTTATCCATTCGTCCGTTGAAGGGCATCTTGGTTCTTTCCACAGTTTGGCGACTGTGGCCATTGCTGCTATAAACATTGGGGTGCATATGGCCTTTCTTTTCACTACATCTGTATCTTTGGGGTAAATACCCAGTAGTGCAATTGCAGGGTCATAGGGAAGCTCTATTTTTAATTTCTTGAGGAATCTCCACACTGTTCTCCAAAGTGGCTGCACCAACTTGCATTCCCACCAACAGTGTAAGAGGGTTCCCCCTCTCCACATCCTCTCCAACACACGTTGTTTCCTGTCTTGCTAATTTTGGCCATTCTAACTGGTGTAAGGTGGTATCTCAATGTGGTTTTAGTTTGAATCTCCCTGATGGCTAGTGAGGATGAACATTTTTTCATGTGTCTGATAGCCATTTGTTTGTCTTCATGGGAGAAGTGTCTGTTCATATCTTCTGCCCAATTTTTGACATGATTATCTGTTTTGTGTGTGTTGAGTTTGAAGAGTTCTTTATAGATCCTGGATATCAACCTTTTGTCTGTACTGTCATTTGCAAATATCTTCTACCATTCCGTGGGTTGCCTCTTTGTTTTGTTGACTGTTCCCTTGGCTGTGCAGAAGCTTTTGATCTTGATGAAGTCCCAAAAGTTCATCTTCGCTTTTGTTTCCTTTGCCTTTGGAGACATATCTTGAAAGAAGTTGCTGTTCTGCCCATTTCTTGATTGGATTATTTGTTCTTTGGGTGTCGAGTTTGATAAGTTCTTAAACATTTTGGATACTAGCCCTTTACCTGATATGTCATTTGCAAATATCTTCTCCCATTCTGTCAGTTGTCTTTTGGTTTTGTTGACTGTTTCCTTTGCTGTGCAAAAGCTTTTGATCTTGATGAAGTCCCAATAGTTCATTTTTGCCCTTACTTCTCTTGCCTTTGGTGATGTTCCTAGGAAGAAGTTGCTGCGGCTGAGGTCGAAGAGGTTGCTGCCTGTGTTCTCAAGGATTTTGATGGATTCCTGTCTTGCATTGAGGTATTTCTTCTATTCTGAATCTATTTTTGTGTGTGGTATAAGGAAATGGTCCAGTTTCATTCTTCTGCATGTGGCTGTCCAATTTTCCTAACACCATTTGTTGAAGAGACTGTCTTTTTTCCATTGTACATTCTTTCCTGCTTTGTCGAAGATTAGTTGACCATAGAGTTGAGGGTCTATTTCTGGGCCCTATATCCTGTTCCATTGATCTATGTGTCTGTTTTTGTACAACTACCATACTGTCTTGATGATTACAGCTTTATAATAGAGCTTGAAGTCTGGAATTGTGATGTCACCAACTTTGGTTTTCTTTTTCAACATTCCTCTGGTGATTCAGGGTCTTTTCTGGTTCTATATAAAATTTAGGATTATTTGTTCCATTTCTTTGAAAAAAGTTGATGATATTTTGATAGGGATTGCATTAAATGTGTATATTGTAGCATAGACATTTTCATAATATTTGTTCTTCCAATCCATGAGCATGGAACATTTTTCCATTTCTTTGTGTCTTCCTCAATTTCTTTCATGAGTACTCTATAGTTTTCTGAGTACAGATTCTTTGCATCTTTGGTTAGATTTATTCCTAGGTGCCTTATGGTTTTGGGTGTAATTGTAAATGGGACCAACTTCTTAATTTCTCTTTCTTCTGTCTTGTTGTTGGTGTAGAGAAATGCAACTGATTTCTGTGCATTGATTTTATATCCTGACACTTTAGTTAATTCCTATATGAGTTCTTGCAGTTTCAGAGTGGTCTCTTGGGTTTTCCACATAAAGTATC